AATCAAAAATATCGTCTTGTTAGTAATGATTCAACAAAGTCATTGGCAGCTTGGTGGCGTGCTTTTGGATTTATAAATGTTCAAAATGAAAATAATAAATTTGAACAAATTGCCGGTTATATTAGTTGTTTAAAATGTTATCATACATTTCGATATGGATTTAAAAGTGGAACAAAACACTTTGTCGATCATGCGGATCGATGTTTTCCCTTAATTTTCTCAGATTCTATTGCAGCTAATACAGATGATTCAAATTTAGTTCAACGTAAATTAGAACAAACTGGTTTTCAACGAAAAGCTAAATTAACAATTAAAGAAAAAAACGAATTTAAAGATCTTTATGCCAAATGGATTTGTTGTGATCTTAGACCATTTACAATTGTTGAGGATTTTGGATTTGAACATTTGGCGAATATGTTTATCAAAATAGGTGAGAAAATTATGTCTTCCAACGATCTTAGTCGATACATATTTCTTTTCACTTATTAGGTGCTCAATATGGTCTTGTGGATGCGAAAGATCTGATACCAAGTTGCCGTACGATTGGTCGTTCTGTTAAAGATTTAGCTGATAAATATCGACTTGAACTAAAAGAAGAACTAACTGAACCATTACATGCAAAAGCAGTTACAATTGCACCTGATTTTTGGCAAAACAAATACAACCAACAAGCCTATTTAGGTCTTAATATTACATATGTTCATATTAATCATCAATATAAATCTGTCGATTTATTTTGTCGACCGTTTAATGGTACTAAATCGTACGATTTAATTCTTAAAGTAAGTCAGGAGTTGTTCATTTGTGAAAAATAGTGTGTGGTTTTTCTCTCACACTTCTTTCTCAAATTTTTTTCTAAAGTTCAATAATATTTTTTTTCTTTCTTCAGTTTCTTACCACACAATTATTAGAATTTGGAATTACCAATTTAATGGATGTTAATATCATTATAGATCGTGGAACAAATTTCATAAAAGCATTTGCTAAATATGACCCAGTTTATTGCTTCGGTCATCGTCTAAACAACGTTTTGAAAATTTGCTTTTTTCAACAGCAAAACACAAAGAAAAAAAAAGAAACTAACCACTCAACCAATGATGTTTCTTCTGGAACTAAACAAACATTAACAACAGCTAGTTTGGTAGTTGAAAAAGATGATTTATCAAGTTCTTCCGAGTCCGATTCTTCGGAGTCTGAAGAAGAACAAGATAAACAACAACCAAATAAATCAGATGAAGATTCATCACTTGTTGTACCAAGACGAAGAAAAAACTCAGCAACAACAAATGTACAAAAAATGTCAGTTGATAATATTCCACCTGAATCAAAACAAGTTTTATTCATACTTAAACAAGCCAAAAAGCTTGTAAAGTATGTGAAAATAGTAAGTATATACAATATTTAATGTTACAGTTTTTTTTAGTTTTCTCTCTAACATTTCTCTTATTTTTTCAGACAGGCTTGAACTCAGAAATAAAAGCAAATGGTGGAGCAACTCTTCATCAAGCAACCGTTGTGAGATGGTTGTCTTTGTCAGATTTATTGGAATCAGTCATTAAATCGTTCAAAATCACACGGAAATTATTAAATGGTAAAGAAAAACAAGCATTAATTACGGACCTAAATCTGCAATGCTTAAAACAATTATGTACTCTTCTAAAACCTTTCAAGCACGTTATGACATCTGTTCAAAATGGTAATGCGCCATCGCTTTATCTGGTTCCAATGTTTTATATTACATTGAAAGAAATATTACAATCGTTCGAAGCTGTTAAGAAATTTAATTATGAAAATATTGATAATAAAGAAGAAGATGATCACTCACTTGATGCTTCAAATGATGAAGATCTTGAACATGAATTACCAGGTACAAATGTTTCGAATAGCTCCTTATATTTTTCATGATTCGATTTGTTTTTCTTAGGCATTAAATGGTTTCGTGAAAGACTTCTTTCGTTATTAAATGAAATGATAGTACTAGATATTCGTCAAGTAGCAGCAACTCTACTTCACCCACGTTACAGGTCATTAAAGAAAATTCCTGATCATGTAAAAGATCAATGTTATAAATATGTTAGACGACAAGTTCGACAGCTACGTGATAAAGTCGAAGTCGAAGAAGAAAATCGACAACAATCATCAGAACCACCAGCAAAAAGACTTAAAAAGGAGAGAAACATGTTTAGTAGATTCGAATCGGGAGATCTTAGTGAAGAAGCTGGTGAACAAAATGAAAGCAGCAACGAAAGTGTAGAGTTTGAATACAGCATAAAAAAAGGTGATGAGCTTGATCGATACCTGTTATTTGAATTGGATAAAACCAAAAAACAAATAGAACCATTACAATTTTGGAAAAATCACAGTAATCGATTTCCAATATTATCAAAATATGCTCGATCAATCTTCTCAATTCCTGCAACTACTACAAATGTAGAGAGGGAGTTTTCGTCTGCTGGTTTCATTTTAAATGAAAGACGAGCAAATCTACAACCAGATAAATTAGATGATATTTTATTAGTGCGATCAGTAGAAAAACAGTTATATAAAAATTAAAATGTGTTTTTTTGTTATTTTTTTTTGTTGCTGGTAAAAGTTTCTATACCTTTTCTTGTTATTTTTTTTGGATATTTTGTTCAGCTAAAGGTTGCTAGCAAAGCTTACGAATATATGTTATTTTTTTTAATATTAACTGTGAATTAGTATTATTGTGACATAAATAAAAATAAAACAATGTACCAGAATACAATTTAAAACGTTGCTATTCTTGAACTTGATTAATAAAAATAATCATATAATTATTACATCAAAATTGCAGGGCACCCTGCCCTGCCCTGCTTCATTCTGCTCTGCAGGGCAGGGCAGGGCAGGGGACGTTTTTTTTCTTGTCCATTTTTTTAACAGGGCAGGACAAGGTACAGGGCAGGGTACAGGGCAGGGCAGGGTACAAAAAAGTTGCCCTGTGCCCATCTCTGGTACCAAATCTGTTCTATATTTGTTGGACCCCTAAATGCTCAATTCATTTCTATATATTTGGGTGAAGAATGGAAACAGTCATGAATCCATTAGGTCAATCGTTACGAGGACAGATCTAAGAACAACTAAACAATACTGACTTGAAATAGTCAATAATTAGTCAATGCAATCAGCTACAATCAATATAACTAGTCCAAATTGTTAATATAAAAAGATGAAAAAGCAAAGATCGGTTGGTTCTCTATAAGTCTGACTCATAGAGATTTAGTAAAATGCTTCTATTTTGAAATAAGTTATCTCTTCTTTGGCCAAAATTTCTCACTATGCTAGATATGGATAGCATTCATGGAACGAAACCTACAAGTCGATATCTATTTCTCGTCTTAAAAGATTTAAAAGTTAATCAAGTAGCTTAAAGTCTGATATCAATATTAAAGCAAGTGTTAGACTAGTTTTAAAGATGATTACACCATTTATTGAAAATTGTTTTTAATCTCAGAGTAAATACATAATTTTCTTTTAACTTTCGTTCTTTATGCTTTAATATAGTTACAGCGATGGTCAAGAAAAGAATTAATATATGAATAATAAAATTTAGATAATCATATTTCATTGCAATTATTAAATTTATTCAAAACAAAGTTCATCTTTGAATGATAAACATAAAATGTCAAAATTGGTTAATTGATATTCATATATCATAAGCAATGTCTTCACGTGATTTATCAACAATCAATGATGTAAATGAAAAAACCTATGATTGTGTATGACAATTAGTCTGTAAATAAATTGAAGAAAAGTCTTCATCAAAACAATAAGAATATGGGGGTAAATTGGGGTGTGAGTCAGTATAGGCGTGGGATGATGTCAGTTATATTCTTGTTTCCATCTACATCCACATCTCCCTCGATATATCTTGCTGATTTCAAGGATTTTAGTTCCTATTGAGACTTTATAAAGCTATTGAACATTTAATATGTCTATTTGCTAGATGGATCCTTTTACAATACACCAGGTTTTCGCAAAGTCATGTTCTCGAAACTATCTGCGTTTGAGGATCCCATATAGATTAGCTTGTGTGAAGCTTTTTAGAGTTTGTAACATGCGTATCTTCAAGCTCTAAAATTTTCCAAAATAGACGCTTGTCGAAGCGTAGTAAATAATGCACAAGTATGTTTGAAAAGTTTATATTTCGAAGATACAAAGTTTGTGAATGCTTCCGACAACCTCGAATCTTGCGCAGAGATCCACTGGCAAATGGATGTATTAAATATTCAACAGCTTCGTTCAGTCTCAATGGAAACTCACATACTTTTAGGGTTTTCATTAAAATACGATCTAGTATGTATAGACAAAAAGTTGATGTAGTGGAAATGGTCCATAATGTAAACGAATTTGTTTCGTTAATCTTTTTTCATTTACACAATTCTCCTTTGGGAATTATCGTCCTTCAACTCTGCAGCGTTATCAGAATTTGAATTCACTTAATAAACGTTGATCAACTAATTATATTATATGACTTTTTGCTATTTGTTGTACAAGACAACAACATAATTCAATATTGGAATTTACAATTTCATTTGGAGCTTGAAACACGCAGATGATATCGAAAAAAATGCCATATTTGAATTAACTTGAAGCATAGAGCTTAGTGATTGAAATGTAGGTAGTTTGAAATCTGATAATCCAAATTATGGTTCAGAAATAGTTATTACTATTGATGATGATGGTTGAGATAATTGAATAACAGAAGGTATAGATGAAACTTGAGAATCAGAATTTGATAATTGTTTTTCAATTTTATCAAAATAATCTTTATTAATTAATATGTGATGAACTAGAAGTTCCTGAAAAAAAAAGACAAGTTTAGCAAAATTTTCTTTTGATTGATCTTTCTTAGTAAATATAGGATAAAGAGTTTTGTTAAAAAGCTTGTCAGAATAGCTCCATTAAAACTAAAAGGTGGACATTTCCGTATTCCGTTTTTCTCAATTTAACATTATTATTGTTCTAGCCATTGCTTTAACTGTCACATAAGCCAATTGTACATATCTAGTATATCTACAGCAAATTTTAACACACTTATATATATGTATATCACGACAAAATTAGAAATACATAAATGTTGGTTTTCTCCCAAAGTTATAACTTGATCATTTGACGACAACGACAAGTCAATACATGGCTTGCCATGATTTTTGGCGTCTTAAATGTGTCTGTTGATCTTAGTTGCTATGAACAATGAGAGAAAATCACAAAAATTGGACTCAAAACTTACATTCACTATATTTTTCTTTGAGAAACATAATGTGAGTTCTATTACATGTGCCCGTTATATTATTATAGAATTGATTTCGGGTCTGAAAAGTATCAGAACAGTTGATCAGATTAATACAAAATACATATGTTTCCTACATTTAATTGAAATTCTAGTTGTTTACAACGAACTTTAATGATTAAAGATTTAAAATTCTAAAAAAGCATAACATTTTATCTTTTTTAGATTTTGCAAACAGTTTGTTGAATATTTCCTGATTTCTACTAAGCGTTTCAAAATAGAAAGTGAGAGTGATGACAACTTGGATAATGTGCGAACAATAGGAAATGTTGCTAATTGGTTTCGGTCTAATTTTAGCTAAGTTTGTGGCATATCGATCTACGGCAGATAAGTTTTCTTCAATCGGATTCCTAAAAGACTTTTAAGTGAGTCTTTAGAAAACTAGAGGTTCAAGTAGTGAATTCAAAATTTTTAAATATATATTCCATAGAGAAAATTGTTCCATGTCGAACTACGAAAACCTAAGTCACCAACTAGGCCTAGACAGCAGTAATTGACCATGCTGAGTCGAAAACAATCTACTGCAATTATATAAAGATTTTTCAAATATCAGCTGTTGACGTTATATAGTGGAAAAATGTTAAAATTGAAAAATCTAGATATAATTATGGTCGATTGTTGTTGAAACTGAAAACTAATATCACTAATAGATTCCACATGATCAATTAATCATTTATAGATCTACGTTTCACTAATCCAGAATCAAGTGGCTGAAATCGAAGGTCTTTGGCAAACCATTAGAACTCTTCAGCAGTACAAGCTTCCATAGCTCGAAAGTGTAGTTTTCTCTATCGAATACATATTTAAATACTATGAATTCAATGTGCCACGAACTTGACTAAAGGTTGATTGAAGTCGTTTTTCAATATCTCTTATCGTTAGCGAGT